CTCCTGCGCTTGGCCAGCTCCTGCTCCCCTTCTCCTGCGCCAGCTCCAAGGCTCACGTCAAGAGCAAACAAACACCTTCTGCTTTATGGAAACCACGTTCACCACCCAAATGTTACGCAGCTCCTTCAATAATAGAGCTTATGGTCCCCTTAATTTATCATCAGTGTTTGAAATAGCAACGCAGAAAACCCCCAAGCAAGGACAAAATCAAAACTGATGCTGAAAGAGAGTTATTGAACTGATGATCATCTAGAAACATCTTGGCTAACCTGCTGCATCTTTGAGCAAAAAAAACCACCCATACACTTTCTGGCCTTAGTAATAAGACAAAAATGAACATTGGCAGAGCAAACAAAACCATCTACAAATACAAATCAACCTTTTCTCCTTGTGAGCCAGCGCAGCCCAAGGGATAACTCCGTGATCACGCTCCTGATGTATTTATACAGCACATTTCATCTTCATTAATCTATGCAACACACTGGCCCGCTTTGCTTTGTGGATTCCAAGCACTGGTGCTCCCTGAGTGCTGTCACTTCTCCTTCCTCTGCAGCTCGGCTGCCTCCTTCTCCTCGCCCGTCGCCGCAGAAGGTCCTGCAGAAGGACACGTGTCGCCCTGCAGCTCCCCGAGCTGCAGCCATCGCTCCGACGCATTCGTCCTCCCAAAGCAATCGAAATTAAAGATGTGAGGGCAGGACGATGGAATGGAGCACTAATGCACAAATCCTCATTTTCTCTCTGTCCTGCCCTGGAGTTTGGTCAATAATCTGCATTTCAGGTGTCTTCTCCTGCGCGTGTGAGGGGCTGCTGGGCCGTAACCCCCAGCCCTGACCCACATCCTCGGGGCACACGCGGAGATCAGAACCCCAACTGCACCCAAACCGCCCTTTAAAGGACCTTAAACGGGCAGAAAATGTCTTCGTTTCCACATCTCTTCACTGTCACAGGCAAGAAAGTCAATTCTGATGTAGGTAAGCCCAGGCTATAGATTTATTTAATCATGTATACTGAAGATGGTGAAAATATTTCAGATTTGCCTACAGTCACAAAGCTATAAATCACACTGAACTACATCACTGTAGTAAGCCATTTCCCCCTAATGGTTTTCTATATTTTATTGCTTCCATAAAATTTATCACCTCTCAACCTAAGAGCTCTAGTTATATACTCTATGCTTACTCTCAATTAACACACAAAAACTAGATTTTAGCAATTTTCAAATTGTGACACGAGCCCTCCAAAAGGACAAGATATGGCATAATGAACCAGCCAGATGCTATTTCTTCTTTTCTCTTCTCTTTTCCTTTCCTTTCCTTTCCTTTCCTTTTTCCTTTCCTTCCCTTCCCTTCCTTTTCCTTGACTTTCCCTTTCCCTTTCCCTTTCCCTTTCCCTTTCCCTTTCCCTTTCCCTTTCCCTTTCCCTTTCCCTTTCCCTTTCCCTTTCCCTTTCCCTTTCCCTTTCCCTTTCCCTTTCCCTTTCCCTTTCCCTTTCCCTTTCCCTTTCCCTTTCCCTTTCTTTTTTTCTGTTCTTTTCTTTCCAGCCCTGCAGTGGAGTTTCCACAAACTTGACAAATCTTCCTGTAGTAGCAACAGTTGTCAGAGACAGAAGCTGATGCCCTGTACCCTATCTCTATATTTATACATTCATTCCATCACACAGATTACACATATCCCTGACTGGGATCCCAAAAAGGAAGGCTTCGGCACTAACCAAGATCCTGTGTGATGCTTTTCCTCTACAGCCTCCCAAACACTTTGTCCTCGTGACACAAACCCACCCGTTGGGCAGCAGCAAGAGCCACACGCTGCTGAGCAGGGCCGTGTTCACCCCACAAACACCCAGGCGCTGAATTGTACAGGGCTCAATGTCACTAATCCTCTAATTAATACCTCTTATCATACAAGGAAAAGCTTCATATTGCAAAATTAACCTTAAATATTCTCACAACCAGCTCTTTTTCTTAAGAATACCCAAGAAGACAGAGCTGGCTTCATGATTATGATTACCCTGAAAATGTTTCCTCTGTTACTTCCATTACCTCCAGCAAGTT